AAAACTTCCCTTCCCCCAAAAAGGGAGTTTGTCACAGCAGGAGACAAGACATGACGTAGAAAGAACAACGCCGAAATGTTGGACGGAGCATTACAGAGAAGAAAGCTGCTTCATGAGGTGCAGGCAGATCGCATCTGTCATAGTCATCCACTTCCTTGTTTGAGCACAGATGTGTTAAAATCTCCCACATACCATACTGGAGTACAGATGGAGACCACCTCTTCAAGCTGACTCACCCTGATCAAATTAACTAGACTTTGGGGTCAAGAGTACTCGGATCCGGGCCAGAGTCCTGAGTGTGAAACCACGCTAAACAGACACAGGTGGGACTAAGGACACAGGTGAAGACAATCAGGACAATCAACATGGAGGGAAACCTGACAAAGGGAGGAAGTAAGACAAGACAACACTGGGGACAACTACTGCAAAATAAAACAGGAAACTCTACAGACATGGTCTCAAATGTAAAACAGTAGATGGGCAACAGGTTAATCTAGAGATGACACAAGAGGCACTCATTACTAAATAAGACAGGAAACACTGAAGACCAGACTAAATGCACTCACAGGGAAGAGAGAAGTCCTTCAAAGTGATGTTGTAGTATGATGTTTTGACAACCATGTTCCCTCTTGAAAAGATGTTAGGAGGATCAATCTGCCCCTGATGTAGTGTGTGTAAGTTTATGTTGTGATTTCCAGATCGACTCTAACACTTTTCTTGAAGATTTCCTTCATTGTACAGTTTGTTACACATGCATGTAAAGTATTAAATCATATAAATAAACTCATGTCTCATCGTGAAAGTGACAGAGAGATGAGAAACGTTGTTTTCTGCCTCTACCTCTCTGTCAGTCAGTCGTATGAATCAGCCACTGTGAAGTTTAATCCAGTCACACAATCAGACCGTTATCCTGTCCTTCAAAATAAAAGCCTTCTTCTTGCCAATGTTAGCATAGAGCCTGAAGTTTAGGTGCACTCAGGATGAAATGTACTCTCCTAACAGGGCAGAGGGTTTGTTAATGTGTCTGTGATCAAACAGAGAGGGACAATATTTTCTCATTTTAACAGTTTGAACAAAGCTGTTAATATTAACCTCAAATAGATCACAAAAGTTGTGAAACCATGCAATACTTCAATATTCATAATACCAATGCTTTAACATTATAATATTCATTATGTGAATGACGGGGGGAATTCGGGGGGATGGGAAAAGTTTATTTTCTTGACTGATGAATGGACTCTACTCGTTTCTTTTTTACATAAAAGAAGAAGCAGGACTTATTCCTATAATAAAACAACACATTGACTGTGTGCCCTGAAGGACAAGCTGTCATCAAGTAAAAACCCAAAGTATTGAAATTAAGATACCGTGTCAATTTCTCAACCGTTTAGTAAGAATTTTCATAGACCGTGCTCTTTTTACCGTTGAGTTGATCAAGTTGCAGCTGACAACTTCAACTAGAACAAGACCAAATGCATGTTGAGGATTTGAGAAACCTTGTGGTTGTGTATGCTGCACAGAAGTAAATGACTGTGTCATCAGCATAAAACTGAACAAAAGTAGAATTTGGAATATTCTGTCCAAGGCAATGCATATAGATAGTAAACAAAAGCAACTTATTTTGGAGACATATTTGTTCAAACTAAATCAATGAGTGTTGATTTTTGGCCTTGTAGGATAATTGATTATCTGTGTGAGGTTTAAAGAATCAAACATTGCCTTCAGAGCATCGGAAGTTGGCATACGCGAGTTCCAATTTAAATCACCAAGCATCACGATTTCACTAAAATACAGTTGAGAGAGAAGATTCAGAGGAGTGGTCAGTGAGTTACTCGGTGCAGATGGGGGGCTGTAACATCTCTTTTACACCTCATATTCAGTAGTTGGTAAAAAGGTTAAAGCTGAAACGGGGTTTCTATTTTAGAATCAAATCCTGCTTTTTTTTAAATCTTAAAAGAGATTGTTTGTGTGACGCACACAAAAGGTGTTGTCACATTTTATGTTCATATCTGGTTTGTTTTATTTTATAAATAATATAAAGGGGCACTTTAATATGAGCCATGTTGGCCAGTGAAATATTTCTTTGAAGAAGAGTTTCAATTTAGAATAAACTGCACATATCAGTGTTGCCAGTAGGAGGCAGTGTGGCGCTGTGCTTCTCCCTTGGACGCTCTTTGTTTGCAGACTCTCGTCGCTTCTTCATCATGCTGAGAGAAGCTGCACTGAGCAGGAGTACTGTTGTCTTCCTCATCTTTCCCCTGTTTACACAGGAACCTGATTTGTTTATGGGTCCCAGCCTGAGACCTTGTAACATTTGCTGTCACTTTTCCGCCTGTGCTGGACGTGGATGAGGCGTGCATGTTCTTTTACATTCATGGCAAAGTACATTCGGACGGAAGGTGGACCAGCTGGCTCTCTGGTGCAGTAATAATAACTATCTGGATCTTAAGTTGTATATGTGGTTGTTTGTTTGATATGTTTTAATCGGCAACAGTTAGGATTCACTTTGGTTGATAAATACATACATACATAAATGTGCATCATTGAGAATGTTCTTATTTTAGTTTGTTTTCTTGTTTTGTTGCTTTGATTATAAATCTTAATTCTCTTAGAGGTCAACTTCCTGGTTGAGGAGGGCTCTCTCATGAACGCACGCACATGAACACATCATTACCTTCCAGGTGTGGCCAATCTGGATTGTACCAAGTTGGACATTGGAATGGGGGAGGTTGTGATGTGTTGTATTATAGTATTTGTATCTAAACCAGCCTTCAGTACGATTCACTTCAGCCTGAACTATGTTTTTGTAGAGATATTGCACATATGAAAGGCAGGAAGTTTATATTTTGTAATCTTTTGAACATCTTAAATAGTCTGTGTAATGTCCACCCCTGCTAGTGTCTAAGTGGTTTTATCAAGAAGTGTTTCAAATTGTTGTTTAGTCCTCGCAGACTCTTTGGGATCCCCCTTCAGAGAGTTTCTTTTGTTTGTAAAGCTGACATTTCTGCGTCAAATAGGAAAGTTTGTGGTGAGTGTTTTGATATTGTGGTTACATCCTGATAATTAAAATGTTCTTTATCCTACTTCAACATTTGCGGTTGTTCCTGTCAATACTTGATCCTACATGAACCTGTATTCCCTCCAAACATGACAGAGAGGAGATGGGAAGTGTTGGAGCACTTCAAATCGGTCTTGGACGCAAGACTGGTCTTAAGACTACTTTTTAAGGTCTTGGAATAGAAAGCATTTCTACTGGGAGGACTCCGGATTATAATCAATACGGGTCAAGACCACCACTGATGTACTATTTTTCCATAGTATTACTGTGATTAGAAGGAAACCGCCTCTTTCTAAAAGAACAAAGAACTTCAATTCATTTGTAATTGGATTCTTATCCCCAGTTACGGCCTCAACCTTCAAGGTGTTACAGTCTAAGTGAGTGACAAGATGATGATTTTTCATTTATATTTATGGTCTTGGTCTTGGTCTTTTCTCGGTCTCACCCTCTTGGTCTGGGCCTCGACTTGGTCTCGATCTCAGAGCACTTCGGTCTCGGGTACGTCTTGGTCTCAGTTAGAGTGGTATTGACTACAACACTAGAGATGGAACATGAGTCAGTGGAATGATTTCATATGCATTCTGTGATTTAGAGTGGGCTACCCAGAGTTGGTAGAAAACTTGATGAAATAAAGTATGATTTTTGAAAGTATCCAACCAGAGCACTGTCAAAGCCACTCCCTCAAACACATGAACTAGTTTTCCTTTATTTCAGGTGCATGGTGAGTCCATGACAGAGGAGTACTAAGCTTGTCAACATTTTCACATATTTGGTTACTGTTCGAGACAACATAATTTAAATGATACAGTTTCCATGATTTCAATAATCGCTAGTATCAAAAAGGACCTGAACTTCTACAGATCTTCATTTTATATTTTTAGAGGGAGAAAGCATTGGCTAAATTGCACAAATAAATTGGCAATGTTTGGACACTGATAAGTTGCCGATCTATGTCTGAAATGTAGACAGTGTGCAGGAGTTTGCCTGCAATTTGTAGGTAATTACATTCCAATAATGAACTCATTTCTGATGCCTATTTGAATTTTTGGGCTGTGGTATATAAAAAACAAAAAAACAGTATCATGAGATTTGTACTAATATCATGTCTAAGATAAGAAATGTATTATTGAGCCAGGGAAGGAAACTTCTGAAGAAAAAAAAAGAAGTGTCACAGCCAATCCCTCCAAACATGACCTTGCTTTTCCTCATTTCAGTTGGAGAACATGTCAACAAGATTTTACCTATTTCTCATCTCACTGTCTGCCTCTTTGAGCCAAACTCAAAAAAACAGAATGAATAACAAAACAGCTGTGTTCATTTTATTGTATTTAAAGAACATTCTTATTTTCTAATAATACTGTATTCAATTTCACAAACAGGTAGTTTATTTTTCATATACATGTTGATCTTGTGCAACTTACTGTTAATAAAAGGCTTATTGATATATATCGAGTATCGCCATTCAGCTAGACGCTATTGAGATATGAGTTTTGGTCCATATCATCCAGCCCTAATATCAACGCTGGTATTCCCGTTACTAAGACCTTATTTCAGCATCTCTTTAGAGCTCTAGAGAAATATACTCATCCCGGAAAAGAAGTCATGTTAGCCCGAGATAATGAGATAAATAAGTCAACATTTCGAGAAAAAATACAAAATGACTTTATTATCTCAAATAAATGAATATGAATGTCCACATAGGCCCACCATACTTTAAACATCAAACTAAATCTACAGTTGCTGCTTACGACATGTTATGTTGGAGACTCAACACCACACCTCAGTCAAAAGATCAGAAAGATTTTAAGTTTTTAAATCACACCGAGTATTTAAACCATTCAAATATTTTAAATTAGATTATTTCTTTCCCCCTTTCTGTTGAATCCATCTGAAACGTTTGTGCTTTTATTCTTCACAGTCAAGTCGTCTGTTTTCCGGTGTCCTCGTGTCTAACTTGGCGCAGATGACGGACCGCAGGCTCGCGCCACTTGATGCCCCCACATCCACTCACGCTCACACACAGACGCGCGCACACACACACACACACGCACGCACCCTCACGCACACACATTCCAGCAGTGACTGTGTGCTGTGGTCGCCTCGCCTCCAGTAACGGACGTGCTTCTTTTGGATTTAGCAGCCGGTGTCTCCGTTCAGCGATGGACTGAGGAGCTGCTCGAGGTAAGAGGAGCTTTTAACGGTGTCTTGATACGGTTCAGGTTCGAGCGCGGATTCAACAGCTTATCATCAATACCAGTGCTGCAGGTTTGCGGAATGACTCACACCGGTGACACCGAGCACCGGGAGTGAAATGTCTCTTTTGCACGGTGTGTTTTTGTAACAGCCGTCACTGACAGCGGTCTGTATAATATGCTCTCAGCTGCAGTGGCGTTAATGGAAGCTCCATCAGCTCCATCAGCTCCATCAGCAGCTTTCTACGTGCCATCGTGCGTAGGGGGGATTCACGCTGCACTGTCGCCTTTCAGATTTCTGTCAGTTTGTTTCTCCTTGTAAATGGAAAGAAAAAGTCTTATCATTTTTCTCCATGAAATGTCGTGAACAATGTCCCTGTTGATCTGTTTCGTTAATTTCGTTATCTGTCTGTGCAGGATATTTAAATACAAGCCAAAGTTTGTGGCTTGATTGACACACTGACAGCAGGAAATGTTGTGCAGAAATGAACGTGCCGTCAAGCATCCACAGCTCAATCAACGAAGAAGAAACAGTGCTGTCATGTATGGCGACATTATGACGGAGAAATAAAAGAATCACCCGAGACTAAAGGGTTCTGATTCAGGAGCTATAACAAGCCCTAAATGGTCAGAAATGTGACGTGACATTGCTCTGTGTGTGTGTGTGTGACACACTCAGTGACAGGGGGTCCCCCCGCATGCCGCAGTGCCTCCTGGATGCTGCCGGCTGAGCGTAAAGCTGGAAGCTGGGTTGCTATGGAGGCGAGAAGACTCGGATGCTGATGCGGTTGCTATACTGACCGATTATCAGCCGAGCTCGAGCTGAGGAGGCGCGTTGTGATGTCAGGAGTGCTGTGTGGTGCAGAAATGTTCTGTGTGTGTGTGTGTGTGTGTGTGTGTGTGTGTGTGTGTGTGTGTGTGTGTGTGTGTGTGTGTGTGTGTGTGTGTGTGTGTGTGTGTGTGTGTGTGTGTGTGTGTGTGTGTGTGTGTGTGTGTGTGTGTGTGTGTGTGTGTGTGTGTGTGTGTGTGTGTGTGTGTGTGTGTGTGTGTGTGTGTGTGTGTGTGTGTGTGTGTGTGTGTTTTCGTGCTCCGTGTCTTCCGCCTCAGTGAGAAGTTTAGCGCTCAAAAGGACGCAGCGTCTGAGCCGCCTGTGGCTGAGAGGACGAGCAGAGCTCCGCGGGTTTAATGCTCAACAAGAGCAGAGAGGAGAATAAAAGGAGAATTAGGATACACATCCATAGTATTACATAGTCTGGATGAAAAAAAAGTTCAACAGTGCATCACTTTCTCATCGTTTAACTCAAAGAAGCACTCATTACATAATGTCGTTTTTTTTTTTTTTCACTGTCAATTGAACTCAAAGACATTTTCTTATTATGTAGGCTACTTCTGCACAGTGATGGCATTCATATGAAGCCTCTGGACTCAATAGAAGTGGTGAACCAGAGCCTACACTTACATGTATATTTATTGTGTCTTCATATGTCATCTCTTGATTTTTTGTCTCTCCCTAATATCCCTACAATCCATACAAATCAAACAAACATCAATTAACAAGAATAATTGAGGCAATACATCTAAACACTAGTTATACAACATGTTTTAAAATAGGATATTGTAACACACCTGAATGGAAACGCAAATTAAAGATTGAGTTATAAGAATTCTTTACGTTGTACTTTTCTGAGAGATGCTCATTAAGCTCGCTGTACATGCTGAGTAGTTGTAGCTACGCTTCAAACGGTTCCATTCAGTGGTGCAGGCACCATCATATTTGGTAGTACACACAAGAACAATCCACCTGCATGTAAAAGTCACACTAATGTCTGGATCCACGCTTGTCACAGTGACATTGATCATTCAAGTTTTTTTTCCAACATCGCTGTAAAGTCTGATGAACTTTGTGTATTTCTATTTAAACCTCAGCCAGCACGCCTGAAAGTCAAAAACCAGCTATGGGCAATAATAAGATACATTAAAGACTGTCCAGAATATGTGAATAAAATCTGTCAGTATTATTAAGCAGGAAATTGATTTAATCAATTAGTAACATTATTTTAAGCACAGCGGCAAACAAGATGAAAATAAGCACATCATTAAAGCAACAAATACATGTCCTCCACCATTTGCTATCAATAATCCAGATACAAAAAATAGCCTATAGCCATGCTGTGACATTAACACCAATCCCCGGCTTTCAGTTACATCTGCTTCACTACGTTAGTGTGTGGAGGGAGCCAAAGAGTGCCAACTAAAGGTGGAGTCAGGAGCATTGTAAATACAACTCCCAAAAACTAGGCCTCTCCTTCTGGGCTCATGGCCCCAAGAAGCGCGCACTCACTTCAGGACGTAGTGTGTAGGTTTATGCTGTGGTCCAGTTGATCTCGGAATTCGGAAATTCCGAGTTCCCAGTTGGAAGTGACAACTGGAACGCCCCCTGAAGTCGTAATTACGACTTGGAAACTCAGAGAATTTTTATTAGCCTGAGTTCAGATCCAATTTGGCTGCTATGTGCAGCGAAAGGGATGTTTAAGCTGTAATTGTTGAGTTTATTAGCAGCTTAGTCGTCTTTTTGTGTAATTAAATCAATCAGACCGATGGTATCGTGCAAGTTCTCTCTGTGGAGGTGTTTTATGTTATTTTCGGTCAGAAACTATCACGTTGTGTGTTGTTATCGTCTGGTATTAGCTAACAAAACAAAGGCACTCCCACGTTGCCTTTCCGATTTGCAACTGGAACGCAGGTAACTCGGGTGTGACATCATTCCCAGTTCTGAGATCCGATCGTCGATTGGTCGATGTTTTGCGCCTGCCTGTCCAACAGAGAGCAATCCGCACGTAAAAGCTAACTAGGTCCCCTCTTGTTTTAAAACAAGCTTATTCAAATGGCATTTCACCTCATTATGACATTTATTTTTTCTACTGTGCCGCTACGTCCACTAAACACACCTGCACGTTGCCATTGGCTAGAGGGAAACACACCCTGTGTTAAAATGAATTCATTATTCTGCATTGGGGGAACAACAATAAGTTGGTTTACCCTGAATAACTCGGCTGTGCTGTTAATTGTTCATCTTCTAACACTTTGAATATGGTATTCTGTTAGTAGATGTCACCGATGAAATAAACAGCTTGTCCTTCTAATAAATAATCTCTGGGCTAGAGATGGGAATTTTCAGTAACGGAGCTCATCAGTGCGTCAGTAAGCGAATGGAAGTGTTCATGAAGCCTTATTTTTCTTTAGAGAGTTAAGCACAAACACTTGAGCTGGCTTTGAGTTTTCTTTGACTAGTAGATTTTTGTACCATGTTCTGGCTGCACCTGAGTCAGATGTTTGTGTTTTGTCATTAGTTCTGAGCCAAATGAAACTCCTTAATGAGCCTACACGAGTTAAACCTGCAAGACTCACATGTGTCAGGACTAAATTTAGTGGACCATTTCATGGTTTCTAAAGGCATGACTCATGTCATTGTAGTTTAAAATACATCCTTTAGTAAAAGGATCAGCGAGAGAGCTAATGTTAGCAGCATTTGGCTCACAGCCCAGAACCCACCTCTGGTTCTCATCAAAGAAACATGAGCTCCTTTTATTTTCACCACCTATTCAAGGTGGAACTGTTACCCTGTTATTTTGCCTCCCTGTTGGTAAAAAATAAAGAAGAGAAAGAGAGAGACCGAGGTGGGGGTTGATGTTCTGGCAGCAGGAGTTGTTAAAAAGAGGAATTTTCATCATTATAAACTAGGGCTGTCAAATTATTACAATGTTAAATTGTGATTATTGGCTGAATTTCTATAATTAATCACGATTAATCACCTGAATCGCTGTTGACATTCCAATATTTTTAATTTAAAAAACCTTTTTTGTTAGGCTTTTATTTTGAATGTTTGTACTGTCTTAAGACTGAGGGTACTGTACTTATTTTTAATTAAATAAAGGAACTTCCTGTAGATCGTATGTTACGGCAACAGAAAAAGGAACTGGTTACGGATCACAAACTACAGTCAAACAGCTCAAAGGAACGGTGACAAAAGTCAATGTTTGTGTCAGAAGGTGGAGACTCTTACGAAGGCTTCCCAAATAGCAGACAATTAATGTGATTAAAAAAAATAAAAGCTTGAGTCTGGGACTTATTAATTAGTTGCGATTACACAGAGTTAATGCTGAATGTAGGAGCTGGCAGAACAGGAGACTTTTCTTTGATACATTTCAGGTTACCAAATAATAACCAGGCTAATTAAACTGTAAATTGTGCACCATGCTTGGTACTCAAGGGGCTGAAGCATTAATAAAGTAAAGACATAACATGGTATTAATTCACAGTTAGTTTCAGACTGTGAACCTGAACTGCTCTTGTCAAATGGACAGTCTGAGTGAGATCTGAACCTCGTTCTGTACTCTGACAGTCAGATGTGTTGCCTCTGAAGGAATACAAAGTGATGTGACAGCTGGGATGGAAAGTCTGTTTTCGTAACCCAGGTGTCAGTTGAAACTATAAATGTATCAAACTACCAAAATGCAGTCATGATGTCTTTACAGGTGTATTTCAATCAGTTGTTAACTTTAATAACTCTGTTTTTTTGTCATTATAAAAGCAGATCAACAGATTGAATATCTCTAAAGGACCGATGTGTGAAGGGAAAAGCTGTAGAGAAATGATTCATCTGCTCTCTCTAAACCCTTTGGCTCGTTTTCTTTCTCTTCGTTTTTTTTTTTGTTGTTGCTTTCTCGAGTTGCAGTCTGAGGGAACAGTTTGTCTCTGACTTTTCTTCAAACTATTTCAATATATTATCTAGCTGTTGAGTCACTCAGAGTGTCGGAGTGGATCCATGTTTGTACTTTCACAGGTCTGTCTTCTGATGTGCTGCCTAGACGACACATCCCGTGTGAACACAATTCACGGGTTGACGCTTAGAATATGACATGACGAGTTCTGTCTGAACGGCCTGTTACTCCTCCACTGTTTGCTCCGCTCGATGTGTGACTGCAGTCA